TCGCTCACACCGGCTTCCGCAAAGCGTCGCGGATCGCTGCAAAACACGGGCTTGCGCTCGGTTTTACCTGTGCCGAGCCGCTGTCTTCGCTACTGGCGCACGACTTGAAAAACCAGGTCAACGAGTGGGCCTTTTGATTTGAGAACACACTCAAGTCTGCCCTCGATTTCATCCTGCACCCGAAATGCTAAATAAACCATGCTCGACTCGTTGACGTCACTTTGCCTGACATTCCTCGGACGTCGACTCTGTCTTTGGGGCCTTGCTCGAGTCCTGGCATGTTGCTCATGTGTCACGATTCCTATCGTTAAGGAACTAAGCGTTATTGACCGCCAAAGTATCGACTCTGTTCCCGAGAAAAACTCAAGATGGTTAGACATAGCTCGATCCGGGCTCGATCTTGGTCAGCGTTAGGCTTCCCAATGGGCAGACAGGCTCGCGAAGGCCACAGCCAGGATGGTGCCCAGGTCCTCACGCCAATCCTTGTTCTTGATGGCACGATACTTCTCCGGCCTGGAGAGCGCGAGCCCCGCACGAAGACTCTGCGGAATCCGCTGCAGAGCATCTTTCATTTGGTTGGCCGTTGGCTCGTACTTCCCCGTCGCGAAGAGAACTATCTCGTGCATCGTGTCGAAGAGGGCGATGGCATCGGCGACGGGGATCACACACGTCAGAAAAGCTTTCTGCATGTCTGCGACTTCTTCTTCTTCTGCATCTTCCCATTTCTCCAAAGTGCACAGCTCTTGCAAACGCTCGGCGTTCACCTCGGGCGGGACCTTGTCATTCTCCACGAGCTTGGTCAAAATTCCTGTGTGCGCCATTTCTTCGTCCAGATGGAACTTATGCCGCGCATTGGTGAAGTTCTCCGCCTTCGAAAGCCAATGCTTTTTTGCCTCCTCGTGCAAGGACCTCATCGTTTCACTATGCTGCTCGAGCTCGGCGGCGATGTCCGCTTCCTGCACGTTGCCGCATGGCAGCCCCGCGCTTGCGCGCAATGTTGCAGGGATCAGGTTCAGGCGCTCCACAAACGCATCCGCCGGCTTTTGCTCGAA